ACCTAAAACGCTGCAGACATTACTAATTCATCATAAAAATGGGTAGAAGTTTGACTCCCCAGTGATCCTTATGAGTCATACACAACTCGGTTGTTCATTTTAACCTAAATTTTGGGATCTCTAGTCAACTAGGTCGGGTTGCCGTTGTGGTAACTCTTATTTAATAGTCTTAAGTCTCATTTCCCTCGATGAATTCTCAACTAACTATTTTGCTAATCCTTTAGTTAGTGGATCCGCTATGTTGTCTTTAGATTTCACATATTCAATGGAAATAATTCCATTAGAGAGTAGTTGTCTTACGGTGTTATGTCAACAACGAATATATCGTGACTTACCGTTAAACATATGACTCTGTGCTCTACCTATTGCTGATTGACTATTACAATGTATTCATATGGCAAATATCGATTTTGGCCACATTGGAATATCTTCAAGGAAATGACGAAGCCATTCTGCTTTTTCACCAGCTTTATCTAAAGTTATGAATTCAGATTCCATGGTAGACCTAGCAATGCAAGTCTGTTTGCAAGATTTCTAAGATACAACCGCACCACCAAAAGTAATGACATACCCACTGGTGGATTTTGAGTCTCTAATATCCGATATCCAGTTTACATCACAGTATCCTTCAAGTACTGCCGGATATCTAGTACAGTTCAGCTCAATATTATGAGTGAGTCGGAGATATCTTAGAACCCTTATAATTGCTTTCTAGTATTCTACTCCTGGATTACTCATATATCTACTTAATTTACTTACTGCATAGGCTATATCTGAGCGAGTGCAGTTTATCAAGTACATTAAGCTTCCAATAATTTGAGCATACTTTAATTGAGAAATACTTTCATGTACATTTTTAGAAAGAAACAAATTGACATCCACAAGTGTTCTAGCAAGATGATCATCATCTTTGCTGAATTTGTCAAGTATTTTCTCAATATAATGAGATTGTGACAAAGCATAACCTTTTGATGTTTTGGTAATTTTCGTACCAAGTATTACATCAACAATCCTCATGTCCTTCTTGTCAAAATGTTTATTCAACATTTTCTATGTAGTTTTAATAATGTCATTATTACTACCTATGATGAGCATATCATCCACATAAAGACATACTTTTTGTTTTTCCAGCTAGAATATTATTTTGTAAAACCACAGAAAAAAATTTCTATAAGAAGAAGAAAGAGAAAAGGAAACAAATGAAAAATTCTGTATAAACAGAATAATTCAAATTTGTCTTAAGATTGTTAGAACAATCTTCTGTGTAAAATAAATAACTTGAAACAAATATAACAAATAAAAATAGATTACTTACAGAATTTATTTTACCAAAATGTAAAAGTACAAAAAGATCAAGTCGAGTGTGTGACACTCTGTCCTTAAGACAGATTCGTCCCGCTACGATGCTTACGGATAAAAGGCATATATCTCCTAGAATACAATGATCTTCACAAATTATAGTAGCACTCCAAACAATTTGTACGGTGAACAAAACCTGTGTTTTTTACTCTTTGAATTTTTTCTTAAGAATTGATGTAAAGAACAATGCACACAAAGAGCAAAACCGGGAAGAGAAGAGTTTTTCTAGATGTTTCTGGATGTGAAAATCTACTGGAAATGAATCTGAATTTATAGGCAAACCGGTGGCTGTTGGACAGATCCGAACAGGCAGGTTTTTGAAATGAACAGGTGCAAATAACCTGAACAGATATGGAAATTAAATTGAATAGATGCAAAACTGTTTGAATCCAGTTTTGAATCTGTCTGGAAAACCGAACTTGTTTGGTGCAACCGTAACCTGTTTGAACCTGCTGGACCACTAGAAATTGGACTGAAAAAAGGGCTCTGTTTGGACAGAAAATATTGGCGCAAAATTTAAATTAATTTCGTTTAGAAAAAATGCAAGAATTTTTACAAAAATTCAAATAAATTTTTTTCAAAAAATTTATGTTAGAACCGACCCGACCCACACCCTCGTCCGATGGGCCAGTTGGATGGACGACAGCACGCACGTGTATGGTGGTTTGAGCCAAAGGTCATTTTGTCCATAACTCCTCCCTTCTACAAACTTGGGATGCCTCTTAGGGCCCAACTCAAGTGTTACCACCTAGAACTTATATATACACATAAGTTCTCTTAAGTTTCCAATGTGGGATATGTTAGGGAAAATATGTGATTCCCGCAAGTAAATCAATCAGTGGGAATAAAAACTAATGCGAAAAAATTAAATCAGAAGCAACACAAGAATTTTTACGTGGTTCCCTCAATGTGAGGTACGTCCACGGGATCGAAATCCGATTCCACTATCAACCAAATAAGTTCCAAACGATTATAAACGAGACACTAATGGTCTCACAAAATCACCCTTAGGTGAATTCCAAATAATCACAAATAAACAAAGAGGAAGGACCTCACCAAATAGATGAATCAAAATCTTCAGAACCAGAGTTGAAGAAGACCCAAAATAACAACCCAAATCAACTTCACTAAAGCACCCAAACAAAGATGCACCAACATCAATTTGCTGCTGCTACTCACTGATTTTTCCGAAGCACTATCTCACCAAGAAAACAGCTGCCACTTTTCTTTGGGAAAAACAATGCACATATCATAATACTGTGAATCTAGGGTTTATTATCAAACCTTAGTTGTTTCCAAATTGGATTGGGTCTCCACAAATATAATATATAAAAATATATTATACCTAAACCAAGCCAAATTAAAATTCTTTAACAAACCAATTGGGTCCCACCCTCCAATAAGGAGGTATACCTAACAATTCTTCCCCTACCGACTTAGGTGGAGATATCAACTATACCCGCCAAAGTTCAACACTTCAAATGTTTGTCCCTCGACAAAGTCTTTGTCAACATATCCGAAATATTATCACCCATGTGAACCTTTTCGAGTTGCAACAATTTCGAATCTAACATATCACGAATCCAATGGTATCTCACATCAATGTGTTTTGATCTCGAATGAAAAGTAGAATTTTTACTCAAGTGAATAGCACTTTGACTATCACAATAAAGTACATGCTTTTCTTGCTTTAAACCCAACTCTTGCAAAAATTTCTTCAACCATAACTCTTCTTTGCAAGCTTCCGTAATAGCAATAAATTCAGCTTCGGTAGTTGAGAGAGCAACACATTTTTGTAATTTAGATTGCCATGCCACAGCTCCCCCTGCAAAAGTCATCAAATACCCCGAAGTAGATTTCCGAGAATCAACATCACCAGCCATGTCAGAATCTGTGAACCCATCAAGCATCGGCTTACCATCCCCAAAACACAAACACACCTTCGAAGTCCCTCGAAGATACCTTAGAATCCATTTTACCGCTGCCCAATGTTCTTTACACGGATTAGAGAGAAACCGACTCACCACACCAACTGCGTGAGCAATATCCGGCCTTGTACAAACCATGGCATACATCAAAGAACCAACTGCTGAAGCATAAGGAACTTTCAACATCTCTTCTTTGTCTTTCTCACTTATAGGACATTGATTCGAACTAAGCTTGAAGTGACCCGCAAGTGGACAACCAACCGACTTTACTTTATCCATATTGAACCTCTCAAGAACTTTCTCAATGTAGCTTTCTTGAGACAACCAAATCAGCCCCTCTTTGCGATCACGAACAATTTTCATACCAAGAATTTGCTTTGCCGGTCCCAAATCTTTCATAGCAAAAGACTTGCTCAACTCCAATTTCAACCTGTTTATCATGGTAGAATCTTGACCCACAATTAACATGTCATCAACATAAAGCAAAAGAATAATAAATTTACCATCCGGGAAATTTTTCACAAACACACAATGGTCCGAAGTGGTTTTAGAAAAACCATTATTCATCATGAAAGAGTCAAATTTTTTGTACCATTGCCGCGGGGCTTGCTTGAGGCCATACAAACTTTTCTTCAATTTGCAAACAAATTTCTCTTTATTTGAAAGGTATCCTTAAGACCAAAAGTCATTATCGCTTTTGGAGAAAGCAACAAAACGTGTCCCTCTTTTGCATATATCCAGTGGTCGTCACCAAATTCACAATATTCAATACATTTTACACAAATAATCCACTCTTCCACACACAGAGAGAGAGAGAGAGAGAGAGAGCGTGTTAGTTCGCTGAAGAAGAGTCCATTTTTAGAGTGAGAGAGAGAGAGAATCATGTGCTGCGGAGACGGTGATTGCAGGCCGCTAGGGTTCCTATTAGGCCTACCCTTCGCCTTCCTTTCCCTCCTCATCTCCATCGTCGGCATCGCCATCTGGATCGTCGGGTTCGTTCTCTAGACTCTGTTTTCTCAAATATTTTATTCTAATTTCATATGTTGTGATGTGATGTCATCTGATCTCATTTGATTTGATTTGTTAATACATATATATATATATATATATACAGATTGCTGTTGACTTGTATATGCCCTTGTTGTCTGTGCGTTACGATCATAGTGGAGCTTGCTTTGGAGCTCATCAAAGCCCCAATTCACGTCATGGAATGGTTCACCTCTCAGATCCCTTGTTAGTGTTTTTTTTTTTTTTCTTTTTGGTTATGTAGGATATCCTGATCAGCTTTACCCGCATCAAAATAAATCCCCACAGCCCGAACAAGCATCAGAATCAACCTTGTTAGTGTTTACTTTTAAATTTTTACGCTTTACAATTATGTCTCTTCTTTGTGTGATGGATTGAAAAATAGGTGTTGGATAACATCTGTTGCTGCTTTAATTGCCATTCTGACTTGAAGCAGGCTTACACTTGGGGTCGAGATACACTCATACTCCAGAGAAATGGCGAGGCCTGAGAAGGTGCACCCGGAGTGCAGTTTCGGAATTTGCCAAAGTTGGCTTGGATCTCTCATCTTTTGGAATGTGAACAAAAGCTCGGCAACCAAACATTTTCAAGTGCTCATAAGACACATCTTTGCCGGTCCAAACTTTTTCTGGAACATCACCGTTCAATGGATAGGAAGGAGACAAATTGATCACGTCAACCGCTGTCTTCAATGCCTCACCCCAAAAGGATCTTGGTAATTTAGCTTGTGAAAGCAAACACCTTGTTCTTTCCACAATGGTACGGTTCATCCTCTCGGCAACGCCATTTTGTTGAGGAGTCTTCTTAACTGTCTTTTGATGCCGAATACCTTGGCTGCGACAATACTCATCAAATGGCCCAATGTATTCACCACCATTGTCTAATCAAATGCACTTCAATTTCTGCCATGTTTCTCTTTCAACCATGGCCTGAAAATGCTTAAATACTTCTAGAACTTGATTTTTAGTTTTTAGTAGAAAAGCCCAAACTTTCCTTGAATAATCATCAATGAAAGTAACAAAATAAAGTGCACCATCATGTGTTCTAACTTTTAAGTGACCACAAACATCCGAATGAATCAACTCCAAAACATTTTCTTTTCTAGAAGCAACATTTTTATGAAAAAAACTCTATGTTTTTTACCCGCCAAACAATGAACACAAGTTTTGAGATGTGTACCTTTCAAACCGGGTAGAAGCTCTTTCTTGAACAATACTTGCAGCCCTTTTTCACTCATGTGGCCAAGCCGCTTGTGCCACAATTCAGTAGAAGTATCATCTCGAAGTGCATTGACAACACCATTACAAATTTTTCCTTACATCGAATAAAGTGTATGAGTCTTCTTACACTTAGTCACCACCAAGGAACCCTTTGTGAGCTTCCATATTCCATCGCCAAATTTGTTGTTGTAGCCTTCATCATCTAGCTTCCCGGTAGAGATCAAATTGAGGCGAATGTCGGGAACATGCCTCACATCTTTAAGCAACAACTTACAGCCCAAATTTGTTTCCAAGCAAACATCACCCATGCCAATAATCTTGGACAAACCTTCATTACCCATTCGAACAAAATCATAATCTCCTTTGGTGTAGGTAGTGAAGAAATCAACTCGAGAAGTCACATGAAAAGAAGCACCGGAATCAATCACCCAATTGCTCTCTTTTGCATGCATCCTATCGCGCTATCTTGCGCACCTCACTTGTACTTGTTAGTACATTACATTGTTTTGAATACAAACCGGCTTCGCGTAGCGTATAAGTCCAATCGTCAAGTCTCCTTTCATATCAGTTGCATCCTGCCCCTGAACTACGCTGGTTTGATTCCTTGCAAAGGGATACGTAGGCAGCCTGCGAGCACAACCATTCATTCATTTGTATTTTGTTTGTTTGTCCAAGTCTTCGGCCTTGTCAAAAATGGGTCGTCTCTGGGCTTTGACATTCACTCCCGTCATTGTTATGACTTTCGAGTTCTGTCAAAGAGGGGCAACTGTAGACACCCCATTTTTGACCGCCCTTAAGACTTGGGCACTACTGATGGTTTGCTCGGTGTTGAGAGATGTGCAGGGCAAGGAATCAGTTTCTTCGGCTAGAAGAGAGGCAAATCTTTCAAAACACTTTGTTTAGGGTTTTGGAGTTGAAGAAGAGAGGAAAGGGGAGGAGAAAACTAGTTTGGGAGAAGTTCGGCATGAATCTGGATAGAAGCGAGTCGAGCGGCCCTCGTCTCGCTGAATCGGGGCTTATCTATTGTACACTTGAGTGGGAGTTTAGCTATGGGGCCACGTCACCGTCGGAAAGCTTTACTTCCGGGGGCTTTCATTTTGGCACTCAAGAATCTCCTATGGCAAGTCCGGGCGGGGGAGATATGATTCAGTTGGAAGTCGGGCATCATCCCTGGTTGGATTGAATTCTGACGCGCTTCACGGAAAAAGGGCATAACTTTTTGCAACAAAGGAATTTAATGCAAGGTTTGCGCCAATTGGAAAGCTAACTTCCGGGGCTTCAAATCTGGACATTTCACCGGCACTTTTTTTGAACCTCACCGGCCACCCATCGGCACTCTTGTTTGTGCCGTGCCGGCAATTTAATTGGTGGCGACCGGCCATTTATTGTGCCCGACCGGCACTTTATTGTGCTGACCGGCAATTTTTTCCTAAGCCGACGACCTTCCGATAGCATTCTGCAAGATTGAGTGGAATTCCAGCTGTGCCAGCTGGAATGCAACAGGAATTGATCCCCCACGTGCCATGTGTGTTTGTTTTGCACCTTGTGAGCCTTTGAAACCCCTTAACGCTTCTAGAAGCTTGAACCCTTTGGGCCATCTTGGCCAGCTGTTTTAGCTTCCTTCTAAGAAGCTTGCACCCCCTTGAACCCCTTTGAACCCTTTCCTTTACTTAGCTTGTAAGCTAAAGCTTTTCCCCTTGCCTTATATAAGCACCGTTTCTTCTCCTTCACTTTGTTTAGGTTAGAGATTTTTGGAACAAAAAAACCAGGATATATAGATATATCTGATATACATTCAAACATTACAACCCTTGATCTCTTCCATATCTCTTCTCATCCAACCACCAAAAACACGCCTTGTTCTTGGGCGCATTTCTTCATCACTCATAGCACAAGGCATTCCAACGCGTATTCAGCAGCTTTGAGGCTGTCCACCAGAGGTTAAAGCTCCTAAACTTGTGTCCAAAAGGTGCTTGGTTTGCTAAGTCTTCAAGGGTGGAGTCCTCATCTTTCCCTTTTCTAGCTTTTTTCTGCTTCATATCTAAAGCATAGTTGCTTGTACTTTTGGCTCCGGACCTAAACTTCAAATCTCATATTTATTTTGGGGGGTCCTCTCATGTTTGATTGAGGACCTCTTGCCTGTTTGAGGACAGTAAGCTTTGCACTTGCTTCAATATCCTCCTTGAATGCCATAATCTTGCATGAATTTTTGGCTTGTGTGTGATTCTGTTTTATGAGCCTATGTAAACTGAAAAATAGCTTATTTTTGAGGCCCTCTTCAAACATTGAAGAAGCGGCTCAATGCTGTTTGGGACTTCCCATGTTGTACTGCCCTTTTAATATCCTTCTTTTTGGTCCCATTTTGTATGTCTTTGCAGCCCCTGATGTTGCTGTTTTTGGACTTTGGTTCCGAACTAAAAAGTGGCTTTATTTTGTGACCCCTGCAACATGTTTTATAAGGGCATCTTTTCTTGTTTGAACGAATTTTTTGTATACCTCATGTTATAGCCACTTTTGAGCCTCATTTTGGCATTGTAATTTCTAGCATGTTTGTATACTGATTTTGGGGCTTCCATGAACCTGTAAATGTGCATATTTTTGGCTCTTCTTCATGTTTCTTGTTGAAGGGCCCTAACATTTTGGGGGGCGACAAGCAGCTGTGAGTTGCTTCATAATCTCATGTTTTAGGGTCCGGTTTTTGTATATGCCATTAGTTGCCCTAATCTTTGTTTGCTTTTTGGCCAATGAGGTTGTACTAGTAAAAATGCTAATTTTGGGGCTGCTTGCACTGTCTATTTCATTGCTATCCATGTTGTGGCATGTTTGATAATAGCCTATAGGCATTCGGGTGCCAAAGTCCATGTTCGGGACTATTCATGCAATCGGGTGTGTTTTCGCCTATTCCGGGCTGTTTTTCCCCCATATTTCAAAGTTGCTGAAATCCCAATACATATTTGCATGTCATTTTCCACTGCCATTGCAATTGCGTATGCCATTGCTCGGCTATGCGTGCCCGTGTGGCACGCATTTTCCGAGCATTTCATTTTCATTCATCGGCATCCTATGGTGAGTGTGGCTGAGGGCTCAACTAAATGTTCTGGTATAAAGCCCCATATATCATGTTTTCATGTCATTCGCATTGTGTATGTCATCGCCTCGGTTTGGCTGCCCCGTTGTGCACGCATTTCGAGGCACTCCATTTTCATTCCATCGGCCTCTTATGTGAGTGTGGCTGATGGCGTCTCTCATGTTAGTGTAAAGGCCCATATCACATTTTCATGTCAATTTACATTGCGTATGCCCATTGGCCTCGATTTTGCGTGCCCGTGTGCACGCGATTTTCGAGGGCCTTCATTTTCGTCTTATTGGCCCACTTGATGTGGGTGCTGGCTGAGGTCCACTCACATTGGTGTAAGTCCACCCTTGGCATTGTGTGGTATGCCATGTTCAAGCGTTGCGCAATGTTATGTTGTTTAGCACTTGTGTATGCCATGTTGCATCCTAGCTTTAATGCTTAGGTTGGCATTGCATCTTGGCATGCATGGCCTTGCTTCCTTGACTTGGTGAAATAGAAATTGGGGCCTTAGTTTGTTTGATGGTTTGCATTTCATTTGACATGAAAGTTGCATATTGATTCCTTGGGCCATCATGCATGGAAATGCCGTGGATTGAGTGGTCCGAGAATCGCAGGCACAGCCCTTTGAAAGTCATTACCATGATAAGGGACATGAATGGTGGCATATATGCCTTGAATTGTGCTGCATGCTTTTTGCATTTGCACTCTGTTGCTGTCAATTGCCAGGGATTCTGCAGGACATTCCTTGCGCGACCGGCAGATTATATTGCGACCGGCAGTATATATATTGCCGACCGGCAATAACAAGCAGCGATGGATTCACTCTGTGCCGGTGACTACACAACACTGCCGGTGGCAATTCTACTACAGCGGTGGCACTCCTCAGTGTCAAGGAAAGCAGTCTGAGTTTTGGTAGCCTTCAGAGGAGCAGAGGAGAGAAAACAGAGGCAGCCTATGCATGGCCGGCGCATTTCCCGAGGCGGTTTACCTGTTTTCCTAATTAGTTAATTTTGTTAATTAATTAATTAATTATGTAATATTTAATTTAGCTTGCCGTAGTTAATTAATTTTGTAATATTTTATTTGTCCCTCCGA